GCCGGCCCGGCCCGGCCCGCTCCGCCCGCCGCGCCCCCTCGCCTCGTGCAGGAGCCGGTATTCCTCCCTCTGCCCCCATCCTGCTCGCTTTTCCCCCTCCTAGACGGCAGGAGTTACTCTTTTCTTCATCAGGGACGTTTATGATTCGGTTGCTTCCCAGCGCGCACACCACCCGAGGTGCGGTTCCCCGTGCCACAGGCGCCGCAGGTCGGGCATCGCCAGGTGCCGGAACGACCCCTCCTCTCAGGCAGCCCTCGACGCCAACGGGAGATGAGCCTTCTGTGCAGCAGCCTCATCTTACTGGAGTTCCACCTGGGCTACAGCCCACTGCAGCCTCTGTGCCTGGCTGTCATCCTACCACCCACACAATTACTGCCACTGGGGTTTTTCTGCATGTATTTCTCAGGTGCGACGTTTTCCACATCTTTTTTTCGTTTTGTTTTCTCTCACTGATTGTGATCCCATTCTTCAGATTTTGGCTTACAAACCCCTCCAGCTTGATTGCATCTTTACCATTCAAACCACTATTGAAAACACTGAAGAGAAACGGGCCTGACAGAATTCCTTCAATAAGCAGGTCCAGTTCTCGCCAAGAAAGGAAGGTAGGCATCCGTGAAGAGTTTAATATCCATGTCAAAAGGGAAGGAAAAGCATAATCCACATGCTGGCTCCGTCTTGAGATGTCACCTCATTGCTTTATAAATAGTTAGTGGATGTTATTTACATCTGACATTATGGCAAGAGTTCTTTTGACAGCAGAACTGAAGCAATTACTACTTAGCCATGGTTTTCCTTTTTCACCTTGGGAGTGCATCCTATCAGTCCATGGGCTCCAAAATAGAACCCAAGTGGTATCATGTCTGCAAAACTCTACTGCTTAGGTAACAGCCCTGTATTCAGTAGGTAGTATCTGTTCTCCCCCTGAAATTTGCCCTGACTATCAAAGAAATAGACAAACCTGTTCTACAAGAGAAAATGGGCCATGAAAGAGAGGGGTGACCTGCACAAAAATCACTCAACATAGTAACAGCCAGAAACAAAAATAAAGCTATCTTGACTCCCAAAATAAACACTCCCACTAAATGTTATAATCTAGCTGTACTTTCCTGCTGCTACCTGAAGGAGACTGACAGAATAGCAAGCACAAATGAAAAATAGTTGAGATGAAAATATGGAGCCTTGCCTGGAGCTGTTTGTAGTATGCACAAATATATGGTCTTCACAGCTAGTAAATTAAGGTGAGCAAACTCAGAAAAGAGGTTAAAAAGATTAGTTTTCTGGGAGAGTTTAGAGTTGAAACTCTAATGAAAGCTGAATTTTAAAAATACCTTCCTTCCCATGTTCTGCTAGTATGCCAGGATGATCAAGAACAGCTACTGTTACTGCTCCATACCTGTGAGGCTCACTCCATCAGCAGATACGAGGCACTTGCTCCCAGTCCTATGAGAAGCCCAGAACTGGTCCCTGTGAATTGCTGCTCGGGTGAGCATGAGAGGTTTAGCTAAGAATTTTGTGTAGCTGCTCTTCACGTGTACACTACAGCAAAACAGAGAGATGTACACTAAAGCTACCAGTCAGCTTTCTTGTGTAACACAAAAGTGACATTTAAAAGGTGACAAAAGGTTCATTTAAAAGTGTGATCATCTCCCTTTAATGGGCCTAATCTAAGAATCTGTACATATGAACCATGAACTCACAGCATTGTTTTCAGAAGGGACCTGAACCTCCTCTCTCCCTGTGTGGTGCTTCATATCCAATATTTAATACCCTTTCTTCAGCATGGTACCTATTATAAACTCAAAGACACTATTTCAGTTTGCCTGGACTGCAGATTACTGTATCAGCCATTCACAGCTGGAGCTCAGGAGCCAAGTGTAATTATAAGCCCCAGCAAAAAATAGATATTGGAGTCCAAAATATGCTATGATTTGACACAATTTGCATAAACCAGGATTTCAAATCTGTCATTAAGGACAGGAAACGGGGGCACTGAAAGTTGCCAAGAAACAACCTGTTTGAAATGTATCTAGACTGACTACTTAATTATTACTTTAAGATGAATCTCCTGCATCAAACATTTGCTGGCAAGATTTCAAATGTCCTCATCTCATATCTGGCATAGCATCTTTACAAAAGATGATTTGTGGCATTTAATTTCTGAGCATATATCCCAAGGCATTCCAGCTGACAATGCATGCCTGATGTAGCCGACACAGGCCATGTGCAGGATTTTATTCTGCATTTGAACTCCACCAAAAAAAAGAATAGAAAATAATTATTCTATGAACTGAGATTAGTTTATTTTATTTTACTCAGAACTGACTAAAAACTATTTGTCTTCTTTCTTTTTCTTGTATCTATGTTCTGTTTATATTCATGATCTGTTCAACTGTGACAGAAAAATTCCCTTCTCAATTAGGACTTCCTATTCTGTTGTCATGCTGCACAAGTGAGCAGTGGATTCTCTGTTGGCAAAACAAAAAAGGGAAATCATTAGAGGCACAGAATTAATATATAGCAGTACCATAAGAAACATGAAATGGCTTATGTGGTGCAACTGGATGGGCTTCTCCACTCCTTCAAAAAAGCAATTGTATATTCAGTACTGACCATCAGTTTAACTCCAAGTGTCTTTCCCTGGAAAGACAGGCAAAGTGAACAGGAATTCCTAGACTAAAATCCCTTTCCTACCCTTTCCAATGTTCTAATGCTACATGGGTTAGGCCTGCAACTTTTGGCTGCAGAAAACAAACAGGGCTTCTCTCAGCCAGTACTGATTGAACAGTTACCAGTTAAGAACTCTGAAATATATTGCAGGAGATACATAGGAAGAGAGAAAATCATGTACCATACATGTAGTCTCCCAGCAACACCTGGGATTTACTTCCAGATTTTTTTGGCCTTGGAGAAAAGACAAGACAAAGTCTACATGATGGAGTTCCCCTGCAGAAAGCTTGCCCTGATGCACCTATGCCTATGCTAGGAAGATTTCTTGTCTCTGGAAAATCCCAGATGTATTTTCTTTTTGATGCACTAGCCATTTTTTTTTTCATCATTGTAAAAACCATCACCTGAGAACAGACCTGAAGTTCAGAAGAACCTACAGCTCCCATTCCTTCATTTAAGCATCCTTATAATTTCAGCCATATATTTCAATGCCATGCATTTAAAAAATCCAAATCCTGTTTCTCAAGGAAGACTCTTACCTCTTTTTTTTTTTTCCCTCAAATTCAGTAAGGAAACATCCGTACCTTACTAGCACAGCCAGAAGTACCAGCAGAGGTTGAATCCAGTCTCTGTGGAGACTCCCTGTACCAGGAGTGTCAATGACAGCTATTTGATTATTCTAAAAAAATTGTCAAATTTACTTAACCTTCCCATTTTAAGCCAAATAAACATATATCTGAAACCCATGGAGGCTGTCTCAGTATTTTCCAAAGCCATAAGTAACCAGACTTCTGTGCCTGCTATATATATATCCATGAATATTTGTCACAAACATACATCAAGCAGCATCCTTGTTATAACAAAGATGTATTGCCTGAGAAAGACAGGACAATTCAGTCACCCATCCCTAAAGCTTTCTCAAGCACTTTACTTGAGCTCAAGGCTGTCTGTGTGTGGTAGCACTCCAGAAACATTTTCAAGATAAATATTTAATGTAAATAAATGCTTTGAATAAGCACGGAAGTGTTCAGATTTCAAGTTACTCTGCATCTATAGATGCCAGAAATTGGGATGAAAAAGCTAAAGATGTGCATCTGAAAGAGGGTGGAGCTTGCTTGTGCTAAAGAAGGAATAATCAAACCAGACATTCACAGCCCCACTCCACTTTAAGAAAGTAAGCAAACAACAGCATTCACCCTGCCTGCATGCTCCCCTAGTCTGCCCTGCCCAAGCTCATAGAAAGCCCCCCAGCCCTCAGATAAACAACTTACTGCAACCTTGCCTCCCTCCTAAATAGTGTGGTCACATTCCACGAGCACAGCCACCAAGTGCAAAGATCCTCTGAGTGCAGGTCTGTGCAAGTTTACCTGCCCCAGCTCCAATTAGAAACAGATTTGGGCAATAAGCCTGTGTTTAAATGGTTTGTCTTTGCCTGGAGATTGATGCCACTGCCCATGCAGAGATTCAGGTGAGCTACTTTAGGTTATTAATGGCAGCACTAGTGCAGCCCTGGCACTGCCTCAGCATGGCATCTGAATGATGCTAATTAGATGGGACACTTTTCTCCTCAGTCTGTTGGAGATGCAGAGTACAGAGGGTGTTACTATGACCTTGATTTAGCTGTGTAAATAAACCACATGCATCTTGAAGCTGCACAAAGATCAGACATGTCACAGTCTGAATATGAAATAATTCAGACTTTTTTCTGCATCTTTATTTCTTGGGAAGGTTGCACTATTCAGGCCAATAGTCTATAGCAATGCAAACTTCTATATGCCAAATTAATTCCCAGATATCCCCTTTCACTCAGTGCAAGGGACCAAAACAACCATCTGTTACGGAGTTTTCAAACAATAAGCTTTAATTGCCTTATTAGAAAAATAAGCACTGAAATATATATAAATGTGATTACATTAAAGTAATTCTGTAGTCTAACGTACTAGAAACAAAAGCCCAGTCATATTTTTAATGATACAGAGTAGCAAGATTTTAGGTTTTAGAAATGCTCCATAGAGAATACCGAAGTATCTTTTAGGAAACCACAGTAAAGACGAGACAAACCTCCACATTGCAATAAAAACTAAGTAGATCAATTTATTCTGTATACTATACAATGTGTAAGTTTGTAAAGAACAATTGACATTTTTATCACCTTAACATCTCGACTGGGTGTAAATATGTCCAACAAAATGTACTCCTGTGGCCTTTACACAAACACTGTCCTACTACATCAAGAACAATGAGAGGGAAGCCTTTGGTGCAACAGATTTGGGGACATATCTGTGAAGTTGTAATTAATCCACTTAACTATCTCAAATAAAATGTTGGTGCTATATGCTTTTATAAGCCTATTGAGTACTATATCCTAGTAACTAAACACTGTCTATCTTTAAAGGTAAGATATGAAAGGGACTGCCAGTCTACGGTGTGGACAGGTTTTCTTTGAAAAAGGCAATTATCAAATGGTAAAACTCATATCATACATTATGTACATAAGTTTGGATAGCTGAGTTATCTTGCTGGAGTAAGCTGAAAGTAAGCATCGATCTGCAGTTATGTTTGATTTACTGTTAAGTGATTACTGGACTTAGAATTTATGCAGTATATAGATTCAAAAAAAAGCTGTGCCTGCTGCTGAGGTCTGTCAGATGTGAAGGCTCATAATCAGTCATTGACCTAGTTAGTATTACAGTACTTCAAATATACACATGGATTATATATTCAGAGCTGAATTTGTAGTAATCTTAAGAATTGCAGGTCAATAGAGTGAAGATCGGAAGAGCTTCTGTTGTCCATCCAGCAGGACAAGCTGAGTTGTAGCTAAGGGAGTGGAATGTTTAAATTTAAATGGCTTATTTTTTAAAACCTTCCCAAACATCAAGACAGCACACCTTATGTGAGCTGAACAATAGTCTCACCAGACAATACACAGCAAGTCACCTTAAATTGTTCAAAATTTGTTTCAGGCCCAGTCCTGTCATTAAGTTTCAATTTCATTTATGCATACAAAAATAAAGAAGGATTTTCACAAAAGGACAAACATCTATAAAAAGCAGTTTGCTTCAATATATCCTGCTTCCTTGTTATTCTCCCAGCCTAATTTCTCTCTTGAAGAAGTAGGTCCATTTCATCAACCTGTTCTGCAAAAATCACAAATCCTTTATAACATTAGTGGAGGATAAGGAATAAGGACAGGCTTGACAGAGCCCATTTAATTACTAGAAGAGGGCTATACGGACTAGAATCAGGTTAGCAGTTTCAAAATTATCTGGAATGACTTCTCTGAAGACACCAATATACTTTGCTCATGTTCTGATCAGAACAGGACTAAATTTAAAATTATTCATTTTCTTTTAACCATATTCTTACATTTACCTTTACAAAACAGCATTGCAGAAAATATGGGCCAGCGTTCTTTTTGACTAGCAGTCCTTTATTCTGCAAGACCTTTCTGAGTATGTCACCATAAAGCACATCCTTCTAAAAACATGCACCTTTAAGAGTGTCTCTTTCTTAAAACACCCACATTGGTTCTTTATTTTTATTAGGCTGTTTCAGAACTGCTTCGTCAAAGAAAAGGGTATTCAGTAAACTGATCTTCTAAAAGATTTTCTTATAATCCCAAAGAATCTATATGCAGCCAATTTTCATTATGGATCATACTGCACTTGTAATATTCTGACTTTGAACAAAAACGTTTTTAAATGCATGTTACCTGTCTAATATCAACTATGTATTTTGTCAATCTAGTACTTACAACCTGCATCATAAAGATGACCAGAAGTTCATCCCTATTTTCTGACATAAGAGTCACCTATTTCTCAGTAGGTCACTGCATAAATACCACTTCCAGTTCTTTGTTTCCCCAAAGCTAGTGAGGGGCTGCTGTAGAACAAGGAGAAAAGGACATAGTTTACTACTGCTTTAGGAGTCCAAGGAAAAAAAAAAAAATCATACCCTTCTACTTCCAGAAGCCTAAAAGACCCCAAAGACAACTGTGTATCAAACTTCAGCAAGCCCAGATTTGGTGTTTGCCACACAGGAAACTCTCTAGGACAGCATATTTATCTATCTTCCATGTGATCAGACAGAGCATTTCAGCTTTAAAAGCTTAAAGAGCTGCTGAACTGAAAGGGCACTTGCCTCCAAACACAGGTACAAATTCCAGATTTTGATCTGAACGCGGGACATTGCTGCAAAACAAACTAGATAACCACAAAAGCATAAGGCTGAGTGAAGTGTAAATGTGAACGTTTCACAAATTTCAGGTACACAATTTTTACTTTCGGTAGCAAGATTCTAGGGCTCTTCGTTTCAGGACAAGATTTTGAAAGATACAGAATCACTTGTGCTTTGATTGGCACATTATCTGCTTTTTAAAATGTAAAACTAATAGACGTTTGCAAAAGGTTGTGCAAAACTATTGTATTTACAAAAATGGCACAAAAGTGAATTCAACAGTCTATGCACATGCACACTTCGTTCACATCTTCAACAAAAGTGTGTCCTAAGCTATGGAACTGAAAAAAATACCAGCTTCAACAGGCAGTTGTCAATAAGCACTAGATTCACAAGAGTTACACCAGAATGGGCAAATATTGCCCGAGTAAAAACTCTATTGTTAAAGCTGAAACAGGTTTAAGGCCGTTCAAGTTCAAAAGCAGAAACAAAATTCAATCAGAGCCCTGTCTTTGTTTTTTATACATGCTTTACCATCTAGCAACTTGTGGTCTAAACCTCTAATTTTAGACAACAAATTCAAACACAGAAGAAAAACCCAACACAACTGGAGGTTATATTAAATACAAATATGCTGTAATTAAGATGAAGTAACAAAAGCAGAAACATTGGAAGTTGTAAAACTTGCGATGTCACTTGCTGGAACCAGTCCTACACTAGGAAATGGGCAATATGTACATTTTCAAGTAGATTACATTGCTCTAACCAAACTTGTCCTTTTTAATCAGTGCATTGTTCTCAACTAGTCCAAATACTACACGTTTTAACTCTTAACAGTACTCCCTTACAATAGCAGCACATGCTATCGCTACCTGCAAAGCTGTCAGTCTCATGATTTAGTGTAAGAAAGAAAAAAGGGGATGTGAGGGTGAGAAATAACTATTAAGGAGAAATAACAGGAATGAGAATAATCATGCAGTTCAGCTCTTCTCGTCAGCCAGCCAGCTTGCTAGCAACGAGAGACGGTTTCCGCTGTGGGAGATCCTGTGGAGTAGGAATATGGTCACCAGTGACTTCTGTCTTGTCAGGAGCTGCAGTAGGCAGTTGCTTATTCTTCATCTTTGCTTTAGCCATGTTGTAATCACCAGAATCAAAGTATTTTTGCTAGAAGACAAAACACACATATTTAAAAGCCTGCAATCTTATCAACTGCATACACTGAATTATCTAAGTTTTAAGACCAGTATAAAATCTTTCCTATTTGGCAAGAAAGCTCTATGACAATTTTTGTTCTAAAAAATAATCTCATACATTAAGTGCACAGAGGTAAACTCTTCACAGGCAAGTATACAGTTAAGGTTCTATACATACCATTAAACTCACACCATACTTGAACATTATTTTTGCCCTGTTTCTCCTAAGAGCTCTGGTCTCCCTCAAGTAAAACCTTGGGGTTTGTAAATTTTGTTGCAGTGAACAAGTTCTGCTACACAGAATAACCAAACAACGCATGAACTAAACCTGGAGAACAGAGTCTGCTCTATCATACCAGAAGATCAAAGCAGCACGAAACTGCATGCTCAGAAGAAAACCTCTTATCTGCATACATTAAAACAGTGAAGCTGTAATCCCTGAAGTTCCCAAACCAATTATTTAGCTGAGTCAAATCTACTGTGCGGTCCTTCTGGAAAGCACTGTGTGAAGGAAACTCTTATTCCATATTCCAAGGCTCTTCTGAATACAAAAGTGAGTATACCATTTTAATACCTAGAACAGTGTTCCTTAATATTTCAGCAAATTGTTATTACCATTACCTTCAACAGCTCTTTTTTTATTGTCAGATTCCTCAATATATTAAGTTATCTATAGATATTAAAACCAAATGACTGTTGTAATTCATCTGCATCATGGTAAGATGAGGCATGGAATTTCATCCAAGGTCTGTGTCAAGTCTTCAAACTGCTCATTGACATGTTCTGCAGGAAAAGTTGTACTTTGTTTACATTTTACTATATGGTGTACTGATAAGGCACTTGTAACCCAACAATTTGAAAAGATTGTCACAGGAAGCCAAAAAAATTAGATTCAGTAAAAAGATTCACACTGGCAACTGCTGCTTACAGTCAAATCAACTCTAAAGAGAACACTCCCTTGTTAGCTTTATACAGTCCTATTCCTCAGTCGGTTGAACAACAGCTACCACTACCTGCTATGTTTAGGTGCTTCCAGACAGCCTGTTACTACCATGCTCTTTATTTTGTGTTAGTTCTAACCAGCTGCAAAATGTTCAGTAGCAGCAGTTGTTAGAGAGAAGTAATTTGAACATCTGACTTAACAGGTCTTTACCTAAGGGAGGAGGGGGGAGGCTCTTTTTTGCAAAGCCTCTGGAAGAAGGCTTTACATGTTCCCTGCCAGGCCCCTAAAGTTACCAAATCTGTTCTTCCCATGCAGTCAGCACAACATCTGAGCCACACACTTACTCATAAACCTTCCCAACTCAATCCTTTTGGTGGTGTAATCCCTATATACACCACAATGTTCTAGCACTGCATCTGCAGAGTAGACCTCAAGTTATAACATGATCTGACCTGGAAAAAGTGTTTCGTATTTTGCCCTTCAAAACTGAAGCAACCAAAAGAAACGCTCAAACAGCATCGGAGTAATAACAGAATTGTTCAGTCTTCTGATGTGTTACTGCTCTTGGCAGACACCAAATAGAATCCTTCTACAGAAGCATGGTGTGGCAAGGTTCTCTCCTTGTACTCTTACTCTGGAGAAAGTGCCCTAACAACGGTGCGTGCACCCAAAGCAAACATCTCTGAAGAGAAAATGTCAATGGGCAGAACGTGTCCAAGCTGCCAAATAGAAGCAAATCTGGGCTACAGTTGACTACATACATTTAGAAGAATATCTAAGAACACCTACCATCTTTCATGCATTAGAATATCATGCCATTTCTTCCTTTACCTTATTCCTTTATTTTCCTCTGATTTACTCCGGCTCCTCATAGATGGCCTGTATTTCAACATCCCTTTCAAACTGCCTATGTCTGTCCAGGTGTCCTCATGTCATAAACACTCTCTGAAAGAACACTCATTATCCTCACTATTTTAAACTTCAGCAGTCCAGGCAGCCTGAAGTATATCAGGCATCTATATCAAATAAAGATGCTTCCTCATTTAAGACACTGAGCACATTAACAAAAATATTAAGAACTAAAATGGATGAAAGTTATTACCCACGCATCAGAAACAGAAAACTGAAGAAGGCAGATTACAAATTGGAATCCACAACTTTATGCCATCCTTCACCGTAGCAGCCATTCAGATGCTCGTTGCTCTACCTCTGCTCAAATTTGAAAATACAGGCTGCAAAGGCCTTTGCATGAAATAGTGCTATAATCAAGATGAAGACACTGCACAGATTGTTATTGTTAGTGGTGAGTTTGCCTCACGTTTGCACTGTGAGTGCAAGCAGCCATCATTCCTTTATGGCCATGAATCCTTAGTGAGTGGATGCTGGTCTGCTCTCCTGAATTATCACAACACCCACTTACCTTCTCCCTTCCTTCGTGTCTACGCATACACCAAACCCACTGAAATCTCATTTAGGCTGCCTTTGACCACACAACAGTATAACTCACAAAAGGAGCCACCTAATCTACCACCTGCCCATTCCAAGCAGTCATTCATCACGCTGTATAGACTCCAACTTATGAGAGAAAGCTTATCCAAAGAAACCTGCCAATGGTAAGAATTCCCAGGAGATGTTACCAGATAGCACAGAATTAAATCAGCACTGAACTCCAACAGCTGGTTTGGGAAGGATTTATACTTGGAATCATTGTGTGCACTCAGAAGGCCTAGACAATAGCAGGGGAAAAAAAAAAAAAAAAGTGTGACAGCACCATCAGAAGCTGTGATATACTAGGATTATTCCAAAAACAGAGCTCTAGAATGCCTGAAAGGCATTACGTAATCACTTTATGAATAATTAAATGAAAAAACCCAGTTGAATAACTAAGAAAATAAGAGACGCTGGTGACATGTGAACCAATACTGAGATACCAACTCGCTCTTCATTCTTCTCTCATTGCTTTTTGGTTAGGGTGCACACTGGGAATTCTGCTGCCGCCCTCGCGCCGCTGGCGTCAGACGGCGCCTGGTGCCACAGGGCACACTGAGCCTTCCTGGGCTAAACGTGGGTAATAACCATGGATGTATGTTTTGAGGACATAAGAATGGGCAAGATCAGTACAAAACAGGGATGAGGTTCTGACCCTTCCCGTTTACTATGATGTGTTTTTATGAAATCTATCACAGCAGCACTGAGACAGATTCTGTGTTTAATTTTTTCTAAAAAGTGCAGTTGAGCCACTCTGCTGTAAGCAGCTGTCCTGCCAATTTGGTGTTTGTTTTGAGGAAACAAATTTCTGTTCCTTGTGCTTTCACAAACAAAGTGTAAATTTCTTAGCATTCTTACTCATGCAAAAGCCCACGGAGTAGGGAAAAAAAAAACCAACAAACAAAACACAAATACAGGAATTTCTGAATTTCTTGTCCATACGATAACAAACTCACTCCTTTTTGAAGCCTCTTCCTCAAGAAGTCTGAGCCTCCTGGCTTCTGGCCCAGATGAGGATATCGTGCTTTCAATTTCGCTTCTTCAACTTTTTCTGGGCTGATCACCTTATCCTCCATTTCCTGAAAGACAGAGATACTGTACATGAAATACACAATAATAAACAATTTATGCATACTATATTTGCAGGGAATTCACCAGCATGCCAACCGCTGCTCCTAAGTGAAGATCTCAATTATTTTAACAGACTTTTTCATATATTCTCTCTTGAATGCTGACAGTGACTGTAGGAGTTCAGCCTCTCATCTTCAATACCTTTCCTGGAGATGTCTTTCAATCTAATCAACACATTTCTCTTTCACATAGAAGTAGTCTATACTAGAATTAAATTATTCAATTTTGGGAAAAAAAACCAACACATACACAAAACCAAAACCAACATTTTTGTTTAAAATAAGAGTTCCATTAAGAACAAACAAGCATTGAAAGCTGGACAAGAGCCACAAGACTGTTTTTCAGCTGTCCCTGTTCGATCATGAAGTTACAGACAGACTAGCACCTGCATTGCCACAATCTAGATTGTATGGCTGCCCTAATGCCTTGATATTCACTGTGAAACAGTGTCAAAGTAGCTCAAAAATATGCCTGCTGTCATATTAATAGCAACAGCACTATATTTCTCTATACATGCCTCTAGTAATCCTGAAATTATGAGGATGAAGACAGTTGGATTGAGCATTTGTGTAAAATAAAATGTGTATTTTCTGAGTGTACTGTAAAGTATCGATGCTCAAAATAATCATTTGAAGATACTCATTTGTCAAAAACTGGAATTTGTACATCCAGCCTTTCAACACTGAACTTTACCTTACACTCATCTGTTCCAGTCCAGGCAGCAATTTGATGTATGAAGCACACTTTCTTCCATTCAATCATTTGTAAAATATCTTCCATTTAAAATTATTCTTTTGCTGCTTTTCAGTATTTGGCCCTTTTTTTTTTTTTTTTTCTTCTTTCTCTGCATGCAAACCATTGCTACCTCAGGGAAAATATGCATTGATTTGCACTGACTGCTGCAGTTCTTGAATTGTTATTATCATCTGAAGTCACAGAAAGACTTTTAGGCAGACAGGAAGAGTTGCCACTGAAATCAAGAGGGACTCCCATTCATCTGTGACTAAGGTTTCATACCCACTGAGAGCTGCTTAGGCAGCCCCTTGACACTCTTTTCCACCCATGTCACCATCCGTTGCACTGCATCCGTCAGCACGACTGCGCGTACTCTGCGTGAACAGGTTACAGAAATGAATTCATCAGAAAAATAACTACGTTGGGGTTTGGCTGGTTGTTTCCATCCCCCCCTTCTTGGGCTGCATCTCATTTGGATGAGTTTCCACAGTCTGGATCAACAAGCAGCTGTGGATCAACAAGCAGCTGCACAAACAGGTATGTTAGCATGGAGGTCAGAAGAACACAAGCAGCTGGGAGCTGCTTAAGCCAGAACTGCCAAAGAACTACAGTCACCACACTAGCCTACCTCAGTGCCTTCCTGTACGTCTTATAACAGCTTGAAGTTGTACAATATTCAGCACCTTTCTGATAAAAAACATCAGAAGCAAAGGTTACAACAGATTTAGAATACAGTATTACTTAGTTGATCCATTAGGCCAAGACATCTCAAAGACAGCTTTGCACAATACAGTGGGAATCTGAGCTAACAGTTCTGCCAATAAAAGACAGAAATTCTCAGAACAATTTGAGAGGATATTCTACGAGGACAGGAACCAAGGCTTTATAGTAGATGAAGGTACAGTTAGGCAATACAAAACACAAAGTATAACATAAGGAGCAAAGTTTCTGACGCTGCTGAATATAGAACTATACCTGCTTCTCATCACATAGTATCATACTAGCCAAGACCAGTTTCTTCAGCTGCTGCTCTTCCTATTGTACTTGATTATCAGGCAGAAACTGACTGGGTTTTCTCAAAAGCAATCCTTTCAGCTCAACACTTTCAACATCTAATGTTGAATCACTGGGTACTCACTGTTGAGCCAACAGGCAAAGCATTTGAGGGGGCATGTTTTGCCAATACTAACCAAAAGGAGGTATTTTTTAGGAACAGAGGGCCAACAACAAACAGCTTACATAAATATGCATTCACAGCACATCAAAGAAAACATTTATGCAAACTCACATGGCTGACAAATCATTGCATAGCAGGCAATCAAAACACAAAATACTCTGTTATGCATCAGTGCAGCTGAAAAGGATACAGACTATGGTCACTTACTCTTGATGACCAAGAACAACTAAGATTCAAAAAACTACCTAGGAGGAACTAAAGAATTCAAATACAAAGATCCCAACTGTCGAACAAAACCAGCTGATGACAGGTTAAAAACAAACACACAAACAAACAACTTAAGACAACAGCTCTTCATATAAAATGTAGTTAAGCTGCAGAACTCCGTGCCAAAGAATACAGCAGGTGCCAAGAATTTAGATGGGTTCAGAAAGCATCCTGATGTGTTCATTCATAGCTCAGGCTTTTAAACCACAGAGTGCTGAGACCTGGGACAGTTTCTGGGGAAGATCACTGCGTGCATGGCCTGACCTTACATTCTTCTGTGGACTAGATGGTATTAAGCACCCATGGAGGTGTGCTGTTGAGCCACAAAGGCTTTAACACAAGCCAGCAAGGTCATTTGTACATTTACAACATTCTCCCTTGAGTTGCAGAGGGAACAACCAGATGACTAACAAATGATTTTTTGGGGGCGGGAATCCCAAGATACACCACGCTCTTCTTCCCAGTGACAACCGCACAAAAGTTATAATTTTAGTTCTCTGCAGGAATTTGACACAGCTGATGAAGTCTGCTTACTTCATTAAAAGGATCTACCAGGAAGGCAGTAGTTACCTAACTCACATTTAAAGATAGCTTTTGCTTTTAATCTTTGGAGAGGCCTAGCAGTGTAAAGTTCTATTATCGGTTGGACAACTGAACTGCATGGCTAAAAAGAAGAGCCACCAGCCTTTTCGCACTCTGGTACGAAGAGCTCATCCTTGTTAGCACCACACGCCATGTTTTTCACACTTTCTGCTTTACGTTTTGTCTGACCACAGCAGAACTATACAGCAAACTGATGTGGCAAAAGCCAGTCCAGAAACAAAACTCACCACCTCCAACAACTTCCTGAAAAGCAGAAGGTTTTAAGGCAAAAAGAGAGTCAGTCAACCAAGCATACGTCCTCCAATGTCTGAAGTTTCTTTGTTGCTGAACTTCCCCTTGCCACTATCGGGAGTTTTCACACAGAGAACAGGAAGCTCTGGTCTTTGGCAAGTTTTCAATTTATATCACTCTCCTGTTTAACACCTTTCTCGCCTAACACAGGCACAAGTTTCTTAGAGCATGTTAGAAAAGTTCAGAAAAGAGGTCTGATCCTGAAAACACTGCCACAAAGTTTGTTTAGGGTCTCTTAAGTAGCTCTTAAGCAGTCTTAAGTACTGTAAAATGGGTTACTTATATAAGTATTTCAGAGCTAAGCATTAACTGAGTCAATAGGCGATTTTTCCCCACCCAGACAGTTTTACTGAAGGTTAATATTGCAAAATACCACAACAGCACTGATCCGACAGTATCCTAACAGGATATAAACTCACAGAAAAAAAAACGTTTTCTTTCATTGACATTACTGAATTGTCTTGAACACGCCATCAGATTGAATTAAATTAGAAGATCAGAAAGGGGCTCTTGTCTCTCAAATAAAGGGTAATTTTTCAAAACAGTGCTTAAGCACTGCATGTTAAGAGTTCAGTCTGAAACTTGGCAAAATCAGCCCCAGTCACCTGACTTCATCAGAACACACTAGAAGGCATCACAATAAACTTGCTACCACATGCTTTACTATGCTCTTATTACAGAGCTATTCTAGGAGCATTGCACAGGCCAGGGATTTATTTTTACAGGCTCTGAACAGGAACGGTATCCCTTCAGTAGTCTACCTAACACGAACGTTAAGTCTAACCACAGAACACATGCATTTTAGAGTAGATTAGAGACCTGCCACAGAAGCTGGTTCTGATTACTGCACCTACTGAGAAGGTATCGTTCCATATTAACCCCCAAAGCTCGCCTACTTGTATGACTAACTCATATTACAAACTATAAATTATTAAACAAAAACTTGACAGCTGAGGTAGATGAAGCTTTTTTTTTTTAGCATCTTTCAAAGCACTTGTTTCATAACCGCTCTCCATCAGAAATAGCTGTGAAGACTGCAACTGCGTCTATACAGCAACGGCAAGACTAAAAAACAAACGGCTTCTTAAAGTCACAGCCCACAGAAGGAAACTTTTAACAGCATACAGTCACCTGTGAAGCCAAATCCCACTTAAACTGTAACATCATTAGTTACAGAGATGACATAATAGTGCCATTATAAGATAACCCAGCCAGCTACTCTTTCTAATAGCCTTAACCAGAACAGGCCACAGCCGTTGTTTTCTGGATATTTCTCCTCCTAAAGCTCTTATATTAAAAGCTAACTATTTTCTAAATGCGAAATAAAAATGTAGCCACCGGATTATCGCCGGTCTCCAGCGAGGGTGAGCCTAAATTCTTACCCCGGG